ATAGGGATAAAATGTAGAATAATGAATGTCTATTGTATTAAAAAAATTTCTATCTGTATAATGGGTCTGTTTTATGTGTTGTCTTCTCAATTCAGAGGGGCCCCTGCCGGTTTTTGCCTAGGGCCCCAAATATTCTAAATCCGCCTCTGGATGTGGGTCACAGCAGAACATGAAATCAAAGCTTAATTTTTAATTGATAAAAGCTTATTTAATTTTTCTGTTGGGTCCTCAGAAAGCAAAACAGATCCCAGCCTTATTTTATTTCACTACCTAAGAAATCAGTGATGCCAGTCAGACTCCTGGCCTGAAGCAATCTCCCAGTCCAGCCCTGACACCTTTAAGTTCACAGAAAACTGATATATATTTAAGGCAAAGAGATTGCCTTTATTCTATTATTATTAAAATTACATTTATTTTACGTTTTTTTATTCCTGCATGCTTGCTCTGTTATTACATTAAAACAAGTCATTATATAAAACAATCTAATCAAACTGGCTCAGATTAAGTTTGCAGGGATTAGACCGCATTTCCATATAAATCAGGTTTGCTTACTTTGCTCTGGCAGCAATAATAAGCTGGATGAGCTTCTACAGAGTCTACATGAATCATAGTTGTTGATTGAGGAGAGGAGGTGAATATAAGTGCGTGAGTAGATGGTGTCCTGCTGCGTTAAGCCCTTTGGTGCCACTGGTAACAGCGGAGCGCTGCACGCGCGCTGCGTAAAACCAGCAGAGACGCGCGGAGCCACGTCCCAGGTTTCAAGCATGAACATCTGAGTTTATATTTACACTGGAAGCTCTGATAATGCGGTAATGCCATGAAGATGGAGGAAGTCTTTAACGCCTCAGACTGTAGCGGCGCGAACGTCTCCGCAAACTGCAGCGACGGCTTCAACAAGTTCGTCCAGCCGCTTTGGCAGATCGCGCTGTGGGCCGTGGCTTATTTGGGCATCGTGCTGGTGTCTGTGGTCGGAAACGTGGCGGTCATTTGGATTATTCTGGCGCATAAACGCATGAGGACTGTCACCAATTACTTTCTGGTGAGTTCTGGCTGAAATGAGAGTGAAGGAAGCTTGTTAAAGGAAATATCCTGAGGTTTTGGAGCCTTTTAATTCTTATTTAAGAATATTTCACCAAGGGCGTAGGTTTGATTTGAACTTTGGTAGGGACACAATTGGTCAGGTGTCATTGATGCTATGCAATATGCATGCCTTTTTTTATGCTCGATGTGAGCATCCGTACTGATAAGAGCAATTCATTGTTAAAAGAGAAAAGCATAATTTTGCTACATTAATAAAAATGTTATAAGCAAAAGCACTACACTCATTAGATGCTGTTTATCAATGTTTGAAGCATTAATTGATTATTTCAATAATCGT